ACAAGTGGAGAATCTGAGGCCCAGAGAGGGAAGTGGACTTGACCCAAATGGCACAGGGAGTGAGTGGCAGAGCTGGGATTGGACCCTTGGTCAAGCTCACCTTCTGGAGCATCTTGGAGTCGCTCCTTTCTTCAACCGAGTTCATGTACTTTATGAATCTGTAGCATCTCCACACGCACTTTAACATGTAGACCTGGAAGAAGGCCTAGGTCAGGCTGTGCTTTGCTTATCCCCTAACTCACGGCCCCATCAGGTGCCAGGCAGGAGCCAGAGGGCAGCTCCCAGCTGCTACTAGTGTCCTTAACTTCCTACAATGGCAGGGTTTCCTCACCTGCTCACTCTTCTGGTTGTACCACTACAAACACACTCCAGTGGGTCTCCATCTCTCAGACCTGGCACCTGAAGCTGGACGCTGTCCTCTTGGCCTGACCACGCCAAAGAAGGAGGAGACCCAGTCCTCTCCCTCCTTCTCATTACCAAACCTCCATTAATATGACCGCAGATCTCATCTATATTGTGGTGCCTGAATCATGTGAAACTGTAACCTGAGTAAAGCAAGACTCATGACACCCCTTTTACAGATGAGACCTGAGGCCCAGAGAGAAGTGACTTGCTAAAGATCAACCACACAGCTGGTGAGAACCCAAACCCAGGTCACTGAAACTAATTCCAGACAGAGCAGCTTTACTCTGGGTTCCTCGTTAAGACCTTGACACCTGAACACTGGTGGTCTTCAAAGATCCACACACTCTAACAAGTTGTCCCTGAGGGCCCCAAGTGTAGCCTGGGCAGGCTAGAGGAAGAAGCTAACATCAAAGAAGGAAGCAGTGAGGGACACTCATCCCTGCTTTCTAACTGCCCGGTGTGGGTGGACCTGGGCCACAGCTGCCCCTGGGTCGGGGGGACACTCACCTTTAGGATGAGGACGGTGATGAAGGCAATGGAAAAGATGATCATCATCTTGATGAACTGGTTATGAGTCATATTCTCCTGGCTGGGGAGATAATTCTGCAACAGATACGGGGGGCCACATCAATGCCTCTGGCCATTAGGAATTCTAACAGCACCCACACATCCAGGAATAACAAGTCCACTCCTCACACGTGGTGTGGCATTCCAAATACCTTAATCAGTTGCCACAATAGCCTTGGAAGCAGGTGCTACCATCAGCTCCATCTGATAAGTGGCCAAACCAAGGGCAGCAGATGTGACCAC